ATACTCGTGAAATGTATTGATACTTCTAAATATAGTATCGTATCGAACATCCCTACTGTCAAGATGTATAACCCAAGGTACCGACGGAGCTTTTTTGCGGCGACATGGAAATAGTTTTAAATTTTCATTTGCATTTTTTCAAGTGTTGTGCAGTGATTTTGGGAAAAATGTCACGAGTAGTCTTATAAAGCATAGTAGATTATATTTCAACAGTTGGCGGAACTTACTCCACTGGGACCAGGAGGGTGAAACGGGATATTAATGCACAATCTGGCAACCCTGTCGCACCCTCACAAAATGGCCTCTGACAACCACACAAGTCACCGTGTTGTCATTGAACAGCATGGAACTAAACCTTCAGAGTATATGTTTTGTGACTGGTACCAAGAGTTGACAGATCCCACACATGTGTAACTGCTTGAAATGCAATAATCAGCTGTATTCAAATAATGTCTAATATAAATATAACCTAGAATGTGTACTCGTGAAAAAAGGAAAATATGTCAAATTTGTAGTTTTTTTTGCAGGTTTTAGGTTTGCTGGTAGCTTTAAGGCATATATTTGGGAATTTCTGAATCGCTGTGAATATAGTGTGGATGTTTGTTCAGTTCCTGAACAACGAAAAATATTCAACTTTATGGATGTATGGATATCAAAAAACCTGAATGGTTTTGTGGGAATATTAATATAAGGTGCCATAATGGTTCTGATGAACGGCAAGCAAATGAATGAATGTTTGGAAACGAGCAATATCTTTTGGTAGAGCCGGTCATCAAGTAGGTGCTTAATGGCTATATGCAAGAGGTTTATAGAAAAAAACACCAAGTATCGCATATCAATTGAAGAAAATAATATAAACATGAATAAAAAATCAACAATAGTAATTAAAATTTAAAAACTTTGAATGAATTATCTGTAATTTCTTAATATTCAATGATGTTTCAATGACAAGCTGTCATCTGATACTTTGACAGTATTTTGTTTTCAACATTTCATAGCTATTGGTTGCTAAAATTTGTTGATTGGAACTTGAAGCTCATTCGTTGTATTTGAAGGAGTGTTACCCTATAGGTGAAGAATAGCGGACTGTTGTTGGTGAAATGGGCCCTAAGACTATTTTGCCCTTCGACAATTCGCGCAGTAGCATATTGTTTTGGAGATGCAGGCTCCTGAAAAACACCAGTGAAAATAGGTTTTTCTTAAAGGAAATTTTGTTTAGTTCAGTTCGCTAGGAACACACTATCCCTAATAAGACATTGCTAATTTTCGACACTGTAAAATAATGGGTTGAGACTGATATTTGTAGAAAGCTTCATCTTCTATATGGAAAAACGAATTTTTGCCTGATCTCGATGAAATAAACTGTGAGAAAAACAGTACTATCATATTGATCATGATACTAATCACCATATATTGTTTTCGCTATTTTAACAACTCATTAAATCGACGACCATCATGTAAGTACTCAAGTATTTACCATATCTTAAAAACTTCATGGGATTATACGCTATTTTTAGGAGTTAGTTAAGAAAAACCAATTTTCAGTGGTGTCCTTTCCCGAAATGTATCTCGAAATTATTGCATCATTTCGAAAATCGTCAAAAGACAAAATAGTCATAGAATGATCCATAGAAACAGGAAACGGCTGCGACTCACTAGATTGTCGCTACCGTACTTAACATGCTATGAATTACCCTTAGAAGTGTCTAACTCCTATACACAACCTTTACTCGGTGGGTGGGTGAGCTCACGGTCGATCTGTTAAAAAACCTGCCAAAGGTCAGTTGAATCTGATGATTACAAATTGTTTTGCTAGTGATCACTAGAATATACCTGTAGTTTTGCGAAATGTATGTTGTCGACTTTACCATTGCCTAACTATCTTTTGAAGTATACTATGGTTCTCTGGTTATTGTACCTTTTCACCCTTTTCCCGGCACCCCTGGCGACAAAGCCTTACAACAATTTTCGTAATTAATAAATCGGATAATAAATTATGTCCGTAGGCTGGGCGCAGCACAATGAGGCCTTATCACGAGCGGAGATTGGGGACTAACTGTGGTGAGGGGTTTGTGGAAGGAGGAGCGAGGATAAGAGAAGTTTCACCTGCCTGCCGTGCTAAATAATGGAAATTCTTGTCAAGCGTAAATTAAAAGCTTTCTGAAGGAGTATTGTTCTATGAAACTGATCGAGCATGAGATATCACTCACCGACATATTATGCTGACGCAATCTGTAGAGTGTAGCTATCGTGCAACGCTAGTTCTCCCGAGATCGTTGATATTGACTTGAAGACTTGATTTGTTTGCTGATCGTTCTACACGCCATATAAGTTAGGTGTTAGATTTGAGTTTTCTAGACGATGTCATATAGATAATAATTTAAACAGGTACAAAGGGTTTTACAATACGGTTTTATTTATTGACTTCGTTCAAAGTAATTTCAATTCAACACACTTCTCCATCCGCCAAAGCCAGTCCTTAATCCAGCTCTGCCAAGTTTCACCCGGCAATGCAGCACACTCGTTGTCCCAAGCTCTCGGAAGGTCCTCAATGCTAGAAAACCGTCTTCCTTTTAGGTTCATTTTGCGGAAACAGTGCAAAGTCGCAGGGAGCAAAGATCTGGACTGTAAGGGGCGTGCTCAATAAGCTTCAGTCAGGTAGTGGTCAAATACTCACTGCACTCTTTGGCGCAGGTTTTTTTATAGACTGTATGACTTTAGGCAGGCACAGGTTCCGTGTACCACTTATCTGTGACTGTCTTCTGTGTGTCAAAAACGACACGCTCCACAATCCCGCTCGATTTGAAAAATACAGCAATCATTTTTTCTTAACAGATCGGGATTCTCTGACAGCTACGGGTGTGTCCTAATAATCAAAGACCCAAACTTTGCTTTGAGCCTTGATCGGCACATCGTAATAATAGAGCCAAGTCTCGCTGTTTCAAAAAGCATTTTCCTCACAGCAGTAATGTTTTCCTCTGTTACTGACGTTCGCGGCCTTTCTTCCCTCTCTGTACTACCTAGATATAGTCGTACGATGAGGACAATCATTCTTTAAGGCAAGCGTCATTTCTTCTAAGCACCGGTCTATGCTTAACCACGCGTAAAGTGATACCGTAAAACTGCCCTTATCTCACTACGTGACCACGATGCCACAGTTCGCACTTTACACTGTCAATACGAATGATCAACCAAGTCAACAGACGTGCTGCTGACGGCTACTATGTCATCATGGACATGTCTCAATATGCAGTAACATGCAACCTGTTGCATCCGTTTGTTAAGTCGCATTGCAAAACTTCTATTGTACTTCTCCAAATGCGAAGTAGGCATCTCCTCACTTTCAGCATGATATTATTTCAGACAGGTTCTAAACAATTTAGCATTCAATTTGTTCATACAACATTATGTACTGTATGCTGTCAGACACTATCACTAATTTGTTAAGAAATTTAGCTTACTAAATTTAGCACGGCCTTAAGAATATCAAAATTATGAAAAAAACGAAACGAAGTGTCACCTGGAAGAAAGATAAGCATGATATGTTGTCAGCATTGCGAAACTGTCCTTGAAATAGTCCATCGCTGTGACGTAAGTGTCATCGCAGTAAGCAATATTTCAAATGTATGTGATTTTATTTAGCCGCAACAATTATGGAGATTACACAGCCACACAAAAAAAAGGTCGAGCTTCGTGAGTCCGGCCATGATAGTCCCATGTTCTTTTTTCATCCCGGACCCAAAAACTACCCCTAGAGAGGTGCAAATTGAGATTCGGATGCCAGACACTAGAGTATGGTATTGTTATGTATTTCTCAAGGGTAAATCGGAACTTGGAGCAAACGAACTTTTTACACTAAACAGAAATATCATGGTCTACCTCACGGATCCTGGCCTTTTTATTCGTGGGGCTGTGTTGTCATAATGAAAATCACAGGAACGTAAGTTTCAAATTTTATATTAACCAAAGTAAGTGTAGTTTAACAGTAATTTTCCAAGTACTCTTGGTCAGATGCTATCCGTTTGGACAGCCAGAACGCTCTGGAGACAGTGGAAAACTATATGAAAAGACAAATACAATAAGGTATTTGTGACACATTTACGAGGGATGTCTTTTAAGTTTTGCATATAGGAACATAGTAGGCCGCGCGGATCGAACGTCAGTACTGAATCTGAACCTCATCTCTTTAGTAAACTTAAATTCAAAGTTTCACAACGATACGTGCACTGTTCTCACTACAGTTAATTTTTAAGTGTCACCAAGTCATTAGAAAAATGGAACTCAACCGAGAAAATTTTTGCGCCATAACTTATTACAACTTTCAGAGACAATTATCGCAACAAAAATGCCTTGCTGAGTTAGTGTCTGTTTTCGGCAACGAAGCGACACATCAGTCGACAATTTCCCGTTGGTATGGAGAATTCAAACGTGGACGGGTGAGTCTTAGGGACGATCCCAGGGTGGGTGCACCAAAAACGGCAGTCACCCAGGAAAACGTCGATGCTGTGCGCAAACTCATGTGACATATCGCGAGATTGAGGTGTCCTTGAAGATCTCGAAGACCACAATTCAAAAAATTTTACATGAAGAATTAGGAGTAAGAAAACTAGTTTCTCGTTGGATAACCCCACCTGTTGACTTAAGAGCAGAAAGCAGCCAGGGTTAATTGGTGCCAAAAAACGCTTGACCGTTTCAATTCCTGAAACTCAAAAAATCTGTACAGCATTGTTAGTGGTGATGAATCTTGGATTTACTGCTATGAATCAGAAAATAAACGACAGTCGGCTGTTTGAGTGTTCCAAGGTGAAGAAAAGCCAACAAAAGTAATCCGTTCTCGAAATGTTTCGAAAAAGATGGTCGCGACATTTGTGTCAAAAGCGGGTCATATTGCAACAATTCCTCTTAATGAGCAAAGGACTGTTACTGCGGATTGGTATACCACCAATTGTTTGCCAACCGACATTCCAAAAATCAACCCCGAAAGAAGAATCATCCTCCACCAAGACAATGCAAGCTCGCACACAGCCCAAAAAACAAGGCAGTATTTAACGGAAGAAACCGTGGAATTATTGGACCATCCGCCATATAGTCCCGATCTAAGTCCTAAGGATTTCTTTACTTTCCCAAAAATTCAAATCAGACTGCGTGGTCAAAGATTCCAGTCACCAGAAGAAGCGGTTGACGCAATCAAAAATGCCGTTTTGGATCTGCCAGCAAACGACTGGAATAAGTGCTTCGAAAATTGGTTCGAGCGCATGCAGATGTATATTAATCTTCGTAGAGAATACTACGAAAAACAATAAAGTCATTTAAAACTACCTACCGTGTTGTTTTATTTCCATATGCAAAACTTAAAAGACATCCCTCGTAGACACCTAATAGGTCTAGCATAAACCTGATTTTAGGAACAAGAGAAGTAGTGGTGAGTTTCACTAACACCATCTACAATTTACAAGAACAGACAACTTAATTTGTGGAAAGATCCATTGGTAGACAGTCATTGATTATAATCAGACATATATAGTCGTTAAATCATCCATCCCGAAGTTGAGTACTATCGATCTTAATACACACTAAACAAGCGAATAGATATATAAAACCAAATGAAGTCAGTCCTGAAGGGAAGTCCAAGAACTTAACAAGTCCTTGTGGTTTGGCCAACACACATATTCAGCAGTATATTATAGGTGTGTCCACGATTGTTGGTGGTTGCGTGACAGTTTCATACGAAATAGGTAAACAGATGACTAACTGCAGTATGTGCGGAGCTTAAATTTTCCAAAAGGCGAAAGCCGATCATTAAACCAGCTTCTACTCACTCTTGCACATTGAATTGGGTAATTGTAATATTGTTGTCTCCGTTCGCTTTCCGGAAATACTATAACGAATTTAACACACACCATCGACACCGTGGTTGTCTCCGGGCATTTATAATGTTTTATACCGAAGTTCAACAGGAGGTAATCTCAAATTGCACATCCTTGATAAGCAGGTTATACTGACAGTGATAGGCATAAATGTCCCCAGCAACTGTGAAATCTATCTTTATGACACTGCCCTGATGGCCCAGTCGTCCTCTGAGGATCTAGTTCACGACAGACAGCAAAGTGCAGTGGGCGAGATATTAGAATGGGCGAATCGGTGATTGATCAAAATTAATCATTCGACAACGCAGGCAATCTATTGTACTAAAAAACGTAGCGGCGCCCCGTCTGAGGTTTCAGTGAATGGAGCTCGGGTACATTGGGAAAGCTCTGCTAAGTATCCCGGTGTCACTCTTGACAAGGGGATGAATTGGCAGAAGCACACTAAAGCGTTAAGAACTAAATTCCAAATCTCGTTTCGGCAACTCTACCCTATGCTATGTAGAACATCAAAATTAAGTTTGATCAACAGAGTTCGGCTATACAAGATGGTTATTAGACCAGCGATCGCTTACGCAAGTGCGGCTTGGTGTTTTCTCGCCAAAACGCATGCGCGTAACCTGCAGGTTTTGCAGAACAGAACCTTGCGTACAATCACTAACGCCCAATGGTATGTTTCCAACGAGACCCTTCACAGAGACCATGACATCCCTTACCTAAGGGACTACATCAAACAACAAGCGCAGCTACGTTATAGTAAAGCGGAATCGCATAACAGCACTTTGTTGCGCGAGTCAGTAGACTACACAGTCGAGCAAGTTCGCAAAAAGATATAGAAGAAGATAAGATTAGTAGAACAGACAAACACGGATACAAGATGCGCCTATTAACGTCAAAACGTCACACTACAAGCCGTACGTATAATAGTAGGCCATTACTGCTATCAGAAAGAGTTGAGGGTGCAGATTGTGCAACTGGTTTGATGGGATCTTCAAACTTTCCTCTATGTCAGTTTGAAGATTACAAATACTACATTTGGCGACACACGTTTTCAAAGCAATTGGGGCAAAGAAGCTGTGACTAGAACTGAAAGATCAGGGCAAGAGCAAGGGCAGACATAGGGCAAAAGAATGGCTGGATTCATATATATATATATATACATCATAACTCTGTGGTATAAATCTAATTTGTGCAAGGATCTTAGACATCACCAGTTTTAGAGAAAAAACTTCGTAAATAGCAGATAATATAGCAAGGAGATAAAGGCCTTGGTAATCGATAAGATGCACTTCTAGATCTCTGCCCGCTGTAGTTATTTAATTAAGAGCAAAATAAAAATGTTATGGATTTTTATCTACATCTAGAAGATACAGATGTAATAATGACTACTTTCGATGATTTTTAATTCCCAGTGCAGTAGTGGTGATAGAGAATTTTAATACTTGCGCATCAGGACATGAAAACTGAGCTACCATCATCACATATGTCATAAGTTTGCTTTTCTTAAGCTGTGTCAATTTTTACATTGAAAATTTTGCAAACACAATCTGAAGAGCCTTATTTCAGCAGCGCTTTCGAGGCCGCTACTGCGTTTAGTCGTCGACTTGACAATACTTTGCAGCAGCGAACTAACAAACAATGTTTCGAGTTTTTGTTTGCCATTTTCTCCGAACTCCTCCATATATTAAGCTCCGAAATAGCAGTCGAAACTTCCTGATGATTCAGACTTCCATTAAAACAAACGCCGGGACGGCCGTGGAGTGTAAACACCTTTTCTCGCGCGAAGTTCGGCACTACTTCTCTCAGGGCACGCAAACAAAAACTCCGCTCTTGGAGTTTGTTTGAAATTCTCCCGTCTCTCGACGTAGATTCAGATTTTAGTTCCGCTTAAATGAGTAGTAAGCACATTACGGCAACTCGTCACTGTACAGGGCTTCCACTATTCGTAAGCTGATCCTTCTCTAACCTTTTTGTGTGACCGTTCAGAAAAAAGATTAAAAATTAGTCACTTTTTTCTGATTCCAAATTAAATATATATATATATATATATATATATATATATAGGTTAATACAACTATCTTCATTAGTTTGACAAAAAAAATGTCGAAAATGTACGGGGTGTTCCAATTAAAGAAATACAACTTTATTCGATAGCAACTTTATACTCGACTTTACATAAACAGAGTGTTTCCAAAGGTGAGACTTTCCATTAGGCGACACCTGGAATAGTAAGGATAAGCAAATTTTTCTTGAAAGTGAACAGGTACGACCAGTATCCAACCTAGGCGCAACGCACCCTATATGTAAGCAGAGCTGCATGTTTGTGAATTGGACTTGAAGAAAAAACTAAAATGGCACAGCAATAACGAACGACAATTTCATGTTATTTTACGATGAGTGACTTTAAAATGCTGCTGATCGTTCGCGATTCTTCAGTTGGTTTCCTTGGGCAATTCCACCCCGCGCCGCAAACTGTTATTTATCTCGAGCAAAGGCCGATTGTAGAAAATGAAGGTGGTCATAGTAGAAGATACAGACAGCCCTGATGTTATATTATGAACAAGTTATCAAACTTGAGTTTTTGAATCAAACTTTAAACTTTATATAAAATCTCTCATCAAATTAAAAATTGATACTTTTCTATAACTTTTTCCATTGTTTTCGCTACATATTTCACCACACACAGGCTTTAGGATATTGTTATTAATGCTGACGAAGAGTATAGAGCGCCAGCTTGGATCTACACCCATCTAAAATCATTAATTTATATTCCTCTAGCAAAAGGTACCTTGAATTTGATGGACTTGGCCGTTAGCTAAAGACGCCTCCCTCTTTTCAATCGGTGCAGACTCTGAGATTTTTGTCTCCGCCAACAGCATCAGTGTTGCTGTTAATCCCGCCGATGTTTGTAATTGTTGTTCCCTCGAGCCCACCCTCCCAGCGGATTTACTTTCAAAATACCCGCTTTAATTTTTTATGCAGTCTTTACATACGCATACGTCAAACTGAAAGCAGTTAGCTTATGACTGAAAACTTCCTAGTTACGCGACCGCAAATTGCGTCCAATTACGTCTGTGCCAGACGCCTCAGAAAATGAAATATGAGAAATGAACGAGCCAGGGAAAAGTGTTTCATTTCTTTCCACATGTTCCGCAGACATCAACGTCAGTGCAGCTACAAAGATGGCTTTCATATATATTCGTACCATAGCCGCTTATATCCGATGTAGCAAAGAGGAATGGTAGGTGGAATACTATAGAAGCAGACAGATGTTATAGCTCAAAGCTAGCAGCCAATTAAAATCCATATTTATGATACTTTCCAAGGAATGGGGATTCGACAATAAACCAGCCGAAACTTCGTCGATTTGGACGTCCTTCCGAGTACAGCATACAGTGTTTCCAAAGCATAGAACAAGAATTTAATGATTGTTTCTTTGGCCTCTTTTCTTCTTGGGCGATTTTAGAAATACCGTTTGGATCCGCCGATAAAGGTCTCTAAGGGATTTTCATAACGGTTTGGCTTCACTTACATAACCTTTGAACCAAATTCAAAATAAAAAATTGAAGCATATTAGCCAGTTGCGTCCTCACATAATAGTGTGCATGGAAAACAACTTATCTACGTCACCAGGAACGGGGTAGCATGACATAGTATTGCTAATTTGTATACCTTCTCCAATAACTCCTCAGGATTTATACTTTGTGGGAGGCTGAAAAAATGTATTCTGGTGTGAATTTGATAAAATAATTGATAATGCTAATTTCTACGTCATATCTAAAATGCACTGAAAATAATACTTTTGGAAATGATGATTGATCAGCTGAAAAAACGTATACTTGTGTGAACTTGACAAAACAAGCTGTCTTCAAGAAAAGTAGTACCCCGTGTAAAGTGCTTTTTCTCAATATCAATTCGTTTCGTTGCATCGTATTATTGAGGAAAATTGAAATCGCGAAGGGAACTTCTAGTCCATAAAATTTTTCTGTGCGTTGTATGTTATCATATTCCGATACTGATAGATAGCCTAATCAAAACCCACAATTCCTTAGACATTTACTTCAGTTTTGAACCTTCCGCTAAACTATCATATCATTAATTCTTATTCATAATATAAGCCAATGGTTCAGATATTTGCTTGGTCATCATCTCCAGATGTTCAGCTCTGATTTCATCAGATCCTGGGATTTCCTTATTTTTCAGGGACATAATAGTGTTGAAAACTACTTGAGCATCGACTTTGGTCAGAACAAATG